CAAATCCCTTTTAGCATCCCACATGGTCTCTGAATGGTGAAACAATTGCAATGGAAGAAATTTCTCTTGATTGTTTACAGCCTACTTGTCAGGGAGTGTATGATTTGGAACATCTCCATATTGCAGTTTATTCTTGCAGTCGTTTACTTCTCCAGAACTAAAGTAACTGGTTACCTGGCAGCCTATCAAAAGAAGACGAAAATTTAAAAGAAATAAATTAATTGTAATTTATATTTCACTGGATTCTTAAAAAGTTTCAATCCTCCTTCTTCAGAACATTCTTCTGAAAGAGTACCTTTTGACTAGTTTAACTTGCGGAAAAAAATAGGTGAATCCCAAATCAGTGCTCAACCTGTAGAATAAAAATGCAAACTTATATAAAATACTATACAAGTCTTGTCAAAATAGCTGTGGAATTCAGATTTTTTAAATGTTGAAAAAATCATTTGTCCAAGAGATTTGTGTCACACCAAATTCCAATGAAAGTTCTATTAGTACTATTCAATAATATAATATAACAATATAATACATTTTATTTAATAATATAACAGTATAACATAATAATGATATAATCTGAAATTTATTTTGGTTTATTTTTTCTAACTTAAATCATTGCATCGAAACACTGTTGTTTCGTTCTGCTTTGTGCTGTTCAGGCAATGATCCTAAGCGTGTCAGAATCAGTAGAGAAGGTTTGAGTGGTTTAAATGAGCTGTGGATCAGGCTATTGCAGGGAAGAGGTGCTTTTAAGTTGTAGAAGTGTTTGAAAAGCTCTGCATTATAATGATTATAGCATTTCAATAGATGCCATGTGTGGACATGGTATGAAAATTCTTCTTTAAGTTGGACAATTAGCAGAGTTGTAGCTCTCATATATGCTGCTAGGACAGTGCACTCCTGACATGTGCTTCTGCAACCGTAGAGGCTCAGCTGTAATTCCCTGTCTGAAGCCTTTTAATGTGGCTGTTGCTGTATTTCCTGGTAATGAATAATATAATCCTGATTTTGTTCACTGCGCTTAGTATGTATGACAGTACTGTATCCCTCATTTTTTGGTACTGTCTATCCATAAAATGCTAGTTTGACATGGAATTGGTCTTGCTGACTCTTAAAGCTTTTAAAGGTGAAATTTTTTTCCAACATGATTTAGACGCTTTTTCACAGATTATCCTGATTAGTGGGAAGACAAGACATCTGTATGATTTAAGCATAGAATAAGTGACTGGATTGAAGCAGGCAAAGATAACCACATTATGAACCTAAAAGAGGAGGTGGTAACACCGCTGATGGGGAAGTAAGATAAAGAGCTCTGTCAGTGAAAGCACTGTCAGTTGGTGGCTATACATCCTCTAGTACATGTCAGTTAGGCAGGCTGACATTTCCATTTGGATAAAGGAGTTAAGAGGGAAATAGAAAGCAAAATATACAGGACATTAGCCTAGAGAAACAGTTCTGTTGGTATTGTGGGTGATGTTAGGTAATGATATGGTAGAGAAGAGAAACAAAGAGGCAGAGTCAAGGGCAGAGACTTATGGAACCACAGGCAGGGGAAGCGGAGATGAAGAGAGCTCTCCAAAAAAGCAAAAAAAGAAGTAGGAAGAGGAACATCACTGCTTTCTATAGAATTCTTATTTTATGGGGTTTTATGAGCTTCATGATTTGGAACTGGAGTAAGAGTATGGAATACAGAACTATAACTTAGAACTTTTAGAAAATATTAAGTGTTTAATAAAAATGTATAAGATGGAACAAGCAAAATCCATTCTAGACTCTTGGGGAATGAATAGGACTCCATAACTCCATAGCTTTTGTTTTTAAAATGTAGTTTACTTTTACAGCTTGTGCTCATATAATTTTATTTCATAAAACATATAAGATTTTAAAAGTTCCTAAGGATTTAATTTAAAATTAAAAAATATCAATTACTTAGCTTAAAAGTTTTGTTAACCACTTAACATTTTCATCTGATTATACCTTGTTTAGAAGCATAATTTAGAGTAGGATAATAATAAGTAAAACTAATGAAACAACAATATAAACAAAACAATTAAAGGAAAAATAGAATTAATATCCAGAAAAAAGTCTTGAATGATATCATGTAGGCATGAGTTCATTTTTAAATTTAAGAGGTAGAAAGTCAGTTGCTGGATACATTATAAATGCATAGAGTATGTTGTTGGTCACAGACCTGAACTTGTCTGGTGATTAGAGTATGTCGTTTAATTTTTCCCATCTTAAATTTTTATCCTTTTTTGAATTTACATGATGAGATTTCCTTTAAGCCCTGTATGTTATGCAAGAACCTCTTGCTTTAATGTTGTTTTAAAACAGCTGTAGTTTGACACAATAGACAAAGATAAATTGTTGCTTGAAGATGCTTTTCTCAATTTCTTTTATTGCTGAATAGCTGAAAAATTAATTTGGATGCCTTTACCCAGGTCACTTACATCCCATGTATTAATTTCTTTTCTTGAATACTGACAGAGATGTACACTTATATTGCTGTTTGGAAACAAACCCCACACTCTTGCTAACATACCATAATGCTTTTACCGTAAAGAATATACAGGCCTATGTTTTGCTGCCATAAGGCATTTCAAATCATTAAAATCATTGACTGGATATTATCCTAGGCATTTGACATAGTGGGCAGTAATGTAGCTGCACAAAATTTTAAAGCACTAATAAGATGCTTATCTTGTTGGACTGAATTCTTCAATAAGAATTTCTGAAATGCTGAGAGTTCTCTATGTAATGGGGAAAAAAAAAATCTGGGTCATATTTAGCTGGTTGCCATTCCACTGGCTCTGGGACTTCAGACAAGCAAGATCAGCAGTGTAGATTAAAGCACTTGAGCCTTAGCTGTAGTAATTTATGAGGATGGATGTTCCTGAAGCATCCTTTTTGCCACTTCATTGGGCCTTGCTACAGCTCTGTATCCTGCAGGATTAGTATCATCATCTCTTTACACAATGTAGACTGAGCTTTCGGAAAAGCTGGGGATATCAGAAAAAGACAAATTGTGAAATGTTTCAGAGATATATAGTTATCCAAGTTCTTCTCAAATCAGTTGGTATTTGGTACTTCAACCTCTCAGGTAGCTTTGCAAATCTCTACCAATAGTTTTTAAATAAATAATTTCTCATTATGGCCCTCACATCTGAACTCAATACTGTCTAACTTTCTGCTCTGTAAGATGAAGACCATAATGGGGCTACGCTAAACAGTGGAACTAAGAGTTTCTTTATTTTTTTGCAAAGAATAAAACATAGCTTTTAGACATGAACTAAATTACAAGGTAAGTATTTCCATGATCCGTAAAATCGTGTGCCTTATTTAAGAAAATTAAAATCTCCGATCTCTCAACCTCTCTCTTTTTACTTTTTTCCTATTTACTATCTAGTCAGATAGACTCTGGTTAATTAAAATGTGGTAATGTAAAAGAAAGGAATATATCACATTGTTTTTGCTAGTCTGAGGTAATTGACATGTTTCTCACTAATTTTATATATACTGTATTAGCATACATACATTTTTGGTGCTGTGTGTAATTATTGAAAATGTGAATTTCTCTGTTTACACAATTTATATAGCACAACTAGTGAAAGCAG